TCCTTCTCCATTTTTCTCCATTTACACTGAGTGAATGCTTGAATGCTTCCCCGCTAGCAATTCAAAAGAAAGGACAATCCCCTTGGAGCGTGAGACACAGAACCTATTAATAAGCAAATGGAAAGAGCTGGCATATATTCCTCATTGTTTAATTCGTCAGCCACTAGAGTCTGAAGCATTTCTCTCCAGGGCCTCAGCCACGTAGAGTCAGTGTGGGAGATGACTTAATGCTATTGTCTTGAGCAAACTCTCTCAAACTCTCACACACAGCAAGGACTCACAGGATGAAGGCACTCATTTAAACAGACAGGTCTAGATTTTGGGGGAAACAAGCCTTTAATCCTATACATGCTGCCCACACCTGTGCAAGATTCAATTTTGTGGGTGAAAGGGAGTGCAGAGCTTTAGGGAAATGACACACTCTGCACAACTTATGAACTGTGTGAAGATGGCTGGTGAGAAGATCAAGCCCTTATCCCCAACTGGAAACCTACCACTTCAGTTTGTGCTTCTGGGGCTGTCTTAACCCTCTCCTCCCTCAAATCTGATTTTCCCCTTCCCCTCCTGCAATACTGAGCAGTCCGAACAGATTTCAAGTGAATGCTGCCTGATACTTGCTTTCCTTTCTCTGCGTTGGAGATAACAGGGGGCCAACGTTTGTATCGCATTATTATTTGCAGGATTATTTACATTAGGGGAAAAAATGGAAAGGAGAGACTTTTCCACTTATGGCAACAATTAACATTTTTTGCCCTCACACTTCACAGACTTTGAGTAACTACACCAAGGTCCTTACACAGAGAAACGTCATTCACTGGGGAAGGAGTGCTGGGTTTTAATCAGGCTCAAGGAGAGAGAGGCAGTGCTGAGGTCTATACTCACTGAGTTTTTCTATCTTTCTCCGTCTTACAAGCATTTTCATCCCCACTGCCCCTGTATAAAAAACAGCATTCTGCCAAGCAACAGGAAATATCAACACTGATACAACAAATTTAAAGTACTAGACACCACTTTCCTTTGAATTGAGAACACACAAGTGTTGGGCCCAACAGCATGTTGTATTACCTGTCTGAGGTTCATCTCCTGCTCAACAGGTTGAACACTTGGGCTTCAGACCCTTAAAATCTTTGAAAGTCTGTTGCATTCCTGCATCTAACACACCCAACTTGTTTGTGGATACACTAGGAACTTTCCGTGGTGAGAAAAAACAAACAACAACAAAAAAACACAAACCAACAGCCAACCATCTGGATAATTTCCTTCCGAAAACATTTCCCCCACATACTTGTTATGTCTCCCTAAAGCTTCCATCCTGGCTCTTCCCATCGTGTGATCTGCTGTGTATTTAAATTTCAGTCTGTGTGACAATACTACTGGGTATATCCTGTACTTAAATCATTTACTTGTCTTTCATATTGACACTTTCTCAAATGCAATCCCATCACACAAGTGCTTCAGTGACATGTTGAATATATAACAGACTCCCTAGCGGACACTGGTCATTTTAATGTTGTGAACAGCTCGTCACACCTTTCATCCTCCTTCCACCTTGCTGCATTTGCTATTTCTACTGTATAAATTGGGGTGACCATGGAATGACAATAATCTCACATTGATGCACCACTTTTCATCCCACTGGATTCCTAAGTGATTTACAGATTTCACATATGATTCACTGCATCATTTCAGTGACAGAACATAGGCTGAAACAGTGCTCATATTAGGTGAAGCTATCACCATTTGAAATTGCAGGTTAGGTTTTAGACAGAAAGAATTTGAATAACCCCATTAGAAAAACATACCAGTCAAAACACCCCTGAAAAAATGCACTGGATTTTTAAGAATCCCAACTGTTTAAGACAGTTTATGATTCATGCTCAAGCAAATAATGCTCTTGGCATTGTATGAAGAGGACAAAGCATTTGAGCTGTCAAGAGGGAAAGGCAGATAATGAAATGTACTTTGGAACAGACAAAATATTTAGTGTCTGTGTATTTCATCTATATGTTCTGTTTATATACAAATACACACAGGCATTCAAGTGGAGATATATAACCACATCTATGAATATTCATTCATACACTTACATGTTTGCCTTAGGATGGGTTTGTTCCACATTTGTTTTCAAGCTTTTTGCATGAACGTATTTATTTTCTAAAAACCAACCGTACGTACATCTGTATAGGCAACGGGACATGAACAGAATTCTCCCGTTGATAATTGCAGTAAAGTGTTGTAGTTCATATTCTGAACATGCAAAGAGCCTTCCGTCATGAATTCACACAGAACACTAAAAAATCACAGTAAACTCTGAATATATTAAGGGAAATATTCACTGGAAATCCACACAAAACAAGAAGCTAATCTGTTCAGGAAGATCCATACTTCCCACCGACAATGAAAAAAAACCCTCTATCTTACACTATACCTCTTCAGTTTTACTCAGCAAAACAAGACAAAATTCCCCCAGTTTAAGAATTGCAAGGAATTAGTATTATTTTAAAATTTTACAAAGTCTGACAGAAGGTAGGAGTGTATCCACAGAAATGTTTGTGTGGCATGCAATTCCTTACCTGGCATCCCTAGACCAACAGGACACCTCTGGCTGCAACAACAGAAAGTGCCACTTGATGAGCTACATTAGCCTGGTAAAGTACAACACAAAATATTAAATGTTTTATGTAAAACCGTGCTTCAACTTTATCAAACTTTATCATTTAAACAAAACTTTTAGCATCTATCAAAACATCACTTCAAGCTCAAGCCTTTGCAGTAGATTCTGCAAAATGAAGCCACCTGTTTCTCTACTGTTCTAATTTATTTGAATAGTCAAAAAATACACTTTTCCTCATAAAATCAGCTCCACCAAAGCCCCTAATTTATTCTGCATGGATACACTGATATGCTATGAAGGGTGACCAATATGGGTTATTAGCAGCCTCGAGATGACCATTCTACTGGAAATACCAACTCTCATCTGGGGAAAATGCTTGAAAGCAAAGCTTTGTAAATGCTCTCTAAAATCAATCTTAACGGAGCACATTGACTTGAGAGCTTCTCAACAGCAGCAGCACTGGAAAAGCAGACCAGCAGAGTCTTGGACTGTTGAGTTGTTACTGCTATGTTTTACCCAAAAGGTGACCTGAACTGATGTGTAACAGACATGTTTTAATATAAAACCATGTACTGCATACACACACAGTCACTTGCCCGAACAGAGAAAAACTGCAGTTAGTTTAACACACCGCTGTAGTTTTACAAAGAACTACCTGAAGCCTCGTCCAGAGTTAAGACAACAAACTGAAATCACATTCACTTATAGCAGAAAAACTTGTAAATTGCCTTGGGGGAAGGCTTAGGCATTGCATGTATGTCATCAGCACAGTGGAAGTAAGCAGCCTTTAATACACTTCAGATTTTCTCAATGATCTCAATGTGCTGGCTCCATAAATGTTGGAACATGTAGAGATTTTTTAAGTCCCTCATTTCAACTTCTACGGTCAGCCAAAACAGGAAGAGTAATGAATGGCGACACTGCCCTTAAGAGGACCAAAGTTATTAGCCTAATGCATCGGGAGGAATGATGCATTAAGACATTAAGAATCAAAACAATCACATTAATGCTTGACAGCGTAAGCAGGAAACAAAAGATGAGAGCTGTAATACAAACCATATGGCTTAATAACTAATCTCTCATTTAAGCACCATTATTAAAACACCTCCTGAATGTTTGGGCCTTAACAGAACATCTCAGCATCATTATTTTCCATATTTATTCTTTTATTTCCTCCTCCCCCGCTCCTCTCCCTACTCTTTCCCCTCTCTATTTTTTTTTTTTCATAAAAGATCTTCAAACTGCTTCTCCTTTCACAAAGTCCAAATCCTACGTCAACCCAATTAAGCCTACACAGTCATAATAAATGAGGGTTGTCAGTTAGTCTCACTTGAGACACAAACTGTAGCTAATATTACTCAATATGCAGATGTTTTCTGTCTCTTTCCGTTGGAAAAAAAAAGTATTATTCAAATGGATTAATGATAAATTGCTATTAATACGAAGAGGATATGCTACAGAATGACACAAGGTTGCAGAAATGTCAAGTGGAGATGTGTATGAACAATGAAGTCCTTTCACCATGCTGATGTGTTCCAGTAATTTATATGTTGTTGTGGTCCTGGATCACTTCAGCTATCCCTTACAAAAAAAAAAAAAAAAAAAGCAAACAAAATAAAACAAAACAAAAACAAAACAAACAAAAAACCACAAACAAACCTAAAAACCAGGTTGCATAAAAATGTTTGACCCTCTTACATGGGCTTCAGCCAATTCTCAGCTTGTAGGTGATGCTCAAACGGATACCAGCTGGGGATCTGTCAGAGGGAGACTTTCCAGTAAGAATTGCTGGGCTCATTTTCAACTCGTACGGAAGTTGCTGGGAGTTAAGAGTACTGCGAATTCCTGAAAACCAGATTGCACCTGATTCTTGAAAGCAAAGGGGCTGGAGTATAAACCCAGCGGCTGTAGCTCAAATGACTTCAGTGCAGTTAATCTCCACACCAATTCAAACTTTGTCTTAAAATTTAATTATCACCTATATTACCAACACCAACTTGAAGTATTAAAAGTTAATTAATTAAATGCCTCCATCAGCATTTGTTTTCCTCAGTCCTTGAAAGAGTCTTTCTGTCGATACTTGAATTTTTTCTTTGATTTTATGCTGCTCTTTCTACAGCTTTGCTGATTTTTATGCAAGCATTTCACAGATTGAAGCATAATGCTAATTGCAGAAAATTTGGAGCTGAATTTTAAGCATTTTGAAGCTTGGGAAAGCATTCAAATCCTGAGTCAAGGACTTAACTTCAAAACAGAGAATTTATATTTGAGTAACAGATGTAGAAAGAAACCACCAAAACACAGGTCTGGGAAAGCACTTAAAGAAATCTTCTAATACAGTATCTTTAAATTTATTTTTAATTGAAGAAATAGCTTTTTGGAGGAACTGAAGGGATGCAAGGGGAAGGAATACACACCATCTTGTATCGCACCGTAGTCTGGCCAAAATTAGAGCTTCATGAAAGTAACTGAGAGTTCTGCAAGTTTTCCAGAAAAAAAAAAAAATAATCAAGAAGTACCTTTACAGTTTTGCTTCCTCCTCAAGTACCAGCTGCTGCATTTTGTGCTTTAACAATCACATATTCCTACTGAGCTGCTATATAAATGCTAATGATTATGATCATTCTTTTCTTTGTTGTTTTTTTTCCCCCTCTCCTACAGTTAAAGATTTTTGCAGTGTAACTGAACGTGTTAATTTGTCTACGTTAGAGCCAATGTTTAACTGAAGACAGAGTAGTGTTTTCATTCAAGAACAGTTCACTGGAAAGCACCCAGAGTTTAAAATTTTGATGATGGGTGGGTCTTTTTCCTCTTTTTTCCTCCCCTTTTTTTGGTGTTGTTTTCAAAGCAATTTAATAGGGGTTGAAATGTTACAGAAATATCTAAGTTTCAACAGATAAGTACAAAAAAAAAAAAAAAAAAAAATTCTCCTGTATTTAACCAGTCTTGGCATGAAAACAGATATGCTAATTGTTGAAATTCCAATTATATCTGCTGTTACATAAACAATAAGATATTTCAACAGAAACTTACTTCTACCAACCAAATTATTTTAAACGAGATTCCAGTAACTACCTTGGGCTGATACTTCTAGCTACTACTTCAGAATGAAAGCAGGAGTTATGAGAGGCACAGTAGATTCTACTGTAGATTACATGTCATTAGAGTTGTGTAAAATTGACCAGTAATTTACCTACCTTTTTTTCTTTTTTAAACTTTCCTCGGGCTGTTCAATACATACACAATCTGCACATTTGTTACTACAATATATGATCTTTCAACATCTTACGCTTCTTCTGTGTACAGAGCAAAATGGATTTGAATGCAGATATTGACAAATTAGAATACAAAATACTACTCAGGGTTCTAAAATTGAGATGCTGTAAATCTGCTTTTGATCTTAAAGCATAATGGTGTTGACTGTAGCAGTTTCAGTAGCACAAGAAGGCGACAAGTCTTATACTAAATGAATTTGAAGGTTATCTACTGGATCATGGACTTCTACACTATTTAATATATCACCTGTGCTTTGGTGAAGCTTAACATAATATGCTTCCTCAACATTTTTTGCATTTTTAAGTGAATGAAAAGAAAATCACAAAGGAATTATGGTTCCAGACTGCATAAGGAAATGCAGAAAAGTTTAGATCGCCTTATTTAATTTTTATTCACTCATTTTGCATCCTCTGTTTGGAAAGAGTTGGCTAAGTATGTCAGTTTCCTGCCTTAATTGGAGTCTCTGTCTACTGAGATCTACAGTAAGTAATAAATAGATTCTCACCTACCTACTTTCTGAAGCTATTCAAAGCCCACCTGGGCTACTGATGTTCTTGCTTACAATGGAGAATAGAGAAGGAGCTGAAGGATTTGACACTGCCTGAAACAGACACTTAATAAATAGTGTTCTCTTGAAATGATTAAAACCAGCTGGCCTCAGTGAAACAGTGTAGAATTTAACTTGGGAGACTGAAATAAAGATAAAGTCAGAATAAATTCATCTTTTCTTCCCTGCCTTGCCTTCCTCATCCTGCTCCCTTCCCCCAAGGCAGCAAACCTGTTTTTCATAACTGTAAAAAGAAAAAAAAAATAAAATAAATCCTGGAATTCCTACTAAAAGAGATCAGCCAAATTTAAGCTGTTCCAAAAAACATGAAAACCATTTGAAAATCTTCCGAGTCTCCAAGAGACTAGTAATTCCCAACATTTGGCTGCTTAGCTTCAAAAACTGAGAGGGTAAAAAAAATGAAAAAAAAAAGGAAAATTTAAAGCACAGGAACAAGATTTCCAGTCATGAGTAATGATTGTCAGGGACCCAGGCCGAAACACACTGAAGAACACCTGCCTTACTGATAACCGATTCCCTTTAAGATATGTCAAACCGGACTGCCTGGAACAGATTCACCTAAAGTGAAATTTTTCACTTTGAAAAAAAAAATCTCAGCTCTGAGATTTTCCATTAAAATACCATCAATCTTTTTTATCCCTAAAGGCGTCGCAAAGTGCTTCAGAACCAGTGCTTAGGGGAACCTCTGTGCTCCAGTGAAGTCCAGCTGCCACGTGGGTGACAAGCAGCAGCTGCTGGACACCACACCGCGATGCTCTCAGGCCGTTCAGCAGATCACAGCACATCACCTAAAAGCAAGTGGAGAGAAAAAACAAGTTAGAGCATCGTTAACTGGCATAAAGTTTCACCAGCCTGACAGGTCCAGCAGCCATATAGGAAGCTTTCAGACATTCTTCCCTGACCATAAGTTCGTGCTTTCCTCCCCTAAAGTTTCACTTCTCTGAGCCTCTCCACCCATAGCCACACCTGAGCTGCAAGCATCAGTTTCACAGAAACCCTGCCTGGAGAGGGATTGCCATGATACCTGTTATAACCCTGCTGAGGATCCGGCACTAGTGGCAGTGGAACTAGCACTGAATTAACCCAACAGAAGCTGATTGCTGCTTGGGTGCCACCTTTTAGCCCCCAAACAAGCTCTTCAGCAGATGGGATAGCACAAGGATCAGCTACCCAGCTAATGAAAGGCTGCCCATGATTGTACCTGAGGAGATCAGTGCAACGCACATGGAACATCAAACCAAACCCAAGCACTTTTCCCATTCCGATTTACAGGAACATTCACTCTTAACCAGGAGCTAAATGTTTATCAGAAGTAGCAAACCTAAAAGATTGCACCATTAAAGACATTCACTGAGCTTACAGCCAGGTTTTGTCTGTACACAAGGTTTCTGTCCAAGACTGAGGCCAGAAATTGTTTTTCAGACAGAACAGAGTAAAAATGAAAAAGAATATTCTTAGAACTATCAGTGCTCTAGGAGCTCATCTGTCAGGCGACACATGATAACTGACTTGAAGAAATGCAGGCACGGGCTAAAAACAAAAAAAAAAAAATAAGTTTTGAGCTTGTATTCAGAGGTCATAAGCCTGAGGTTGAAAGGTAGGGGAAGAACATTAACACAGACAGACAGAGAGGGAAAGGGTCTGATCCTTTTTAGAGTGATATAAAGCTAGAATGAGTCCTCTGAACGTTTACTTGTTAGTAGCATATTTTACATGAGCCTCTTTTAAAAGTTGTTTAAGAAAAATCAGAAGTTGCAGGCCTTGGCTAGGATCTCTGACAACCACACCTTGAATACGTCTCACTTACAAGACTGGGACTTCTATTTTAATCTCCCCCCCCCAGGACACCAGTGACAATCATGCACCCAATTCTACAGCTAAAATGATCTGGATCTGGAATGGAAATTGCTATCAGTTTGTGAGGGATAAAGGATTCGTTTCATTATTTAAGGAAGCTTCATTTGCCATGAAGAAAACAGTCTTCTTAAGGTTGAAAGACATTAAAAAGCCAGCATCAAATCCAGAAGGATTTTTTCAATTATTTTTGCATTGAAGTCTTCCTTTAAGAAAGGTTTTTAGCAACTGATCTGCTTGCAACAGAAGTTTAGATTTTGACAAAGTTAGTTCTAAACAGAAAATAATAACATCAAAACTTGTCTGTCACCTAATCACCATCAGCTTGCAGCAGTCTGTGCCTCTGAGCCTTTAGTGCTACAGCAGCTGCAGTATGTGGCACCTCCACATATGAGACAGACGCTGTCCTTCTACTGTGAGATTACCTTGTACTTTATTCTTTATGATACCTTTATTCGGTTTCCCTTAGAAGTTTCCTTTTTTCTTCTTCTTCTTAAAAAACTCACTTGTTTTGAAAAATTTGGGCTTCAAAATTGTGGTCACTTAGGGGCCTAAATTTTCTTCATTTTCACTAGACTGGAGTTTCCAAAATGATACCAAAACCAACACTAAAATATCTGTATTAGCATTCCTACCTACTTTGTGAGACTAATCATTAGTCACTTGTTTACATGGAAAAGCTACGCTAGCATAAGCCAATGGATGAATTTGAATAATTCTACTAATATAAATTCCCCTGTGGAACCTATTCTTCCCTTATGACTCTTTTATGGATCTCCTTGGAGGAGCGTATATACAAAGAAGTTATACCTGTCCAGTTGTAGTGGTAAAAACTTTCCCAGAATCTAACAGAAAAGGCTCCATTTTAATTAAGTCAGATTCTATAAATTTACCCTTATGTGAAGAGGATAAGTATGAGAAAAGAGCATTGACATTATCCTACCACATCTTCTTTCAGAGGAGCTTGTAACATGAACACGGAATGCCAGGAGAAGTGAATTAGACTGCAAGGAGCCCAACAGTTTATTTGGAAGTGCCTACAAAAAAAAAAAAAAATTGGAATTCAGACATCAATTAAGATTTAACATTTCACTGCAGTCAGCATTTCTACTGAGGAATGTAACCTTGCAGTTACTTCGTCCATCCCCACTTTTCCCAATTTTAAAATCTATAAATGAGGAGAATCCCCAGCAACAGAACGAAAAATCAAATCCCATCAATGCATCTCAGAGCAAAGGCAGTAAATCGAGACAAGACAGGCACTGAAGCAAATCCAGAGGCTGGGGGTAGCGTGATGTACCCGTACAAAAAAAGCTGGGCAGCATTTCCACAATCTGGAACAGCCAGATGAATTGATAACCCTACAGAGTATCACTTCATGCCTGGCAGTACACACTGCCTCCCTGATCTTCCTTCCCTTACCTGGAACAGCCCTGGTTTTGCCAAGACAATGCTTCCCCATGTGTTCCGGCATTCTTGGCTTGATCCAAAGATAACAGTCTTGGGAAAAGAATGAGGAGAGATCATCCACTCTTTTCTTCATGGCCATAAATACTTGTCTCATAAACTGAAGAGTATAGGAAGTTTATTTTATAACGTGGTGTGCTGTCCCACTCAGACAATGGGAAGTGCATGCCTTTTCCCCTTTTCTTTCTACTTTTCTTTCTAGAAAGACAAGTTAACTACCTGCCAGAATGCTGCATTTTATACCAGGTTTATTTATTTATTTATTTTTTAAAGGAAGTTTTTATCAAGATATTTTGCTAAATACATCTGCATCTAACTACCCAGACAGCTATTTGTTGGAGAGGTGATGTGTGCTTTTCAGAATTACATGGCAAGCACAATTTAAAACTAGAAAACTTCTCAGAAAACACCAAATTTATTTGGACAAAGGGCCCCACTTAGCTCCTTCTGCCCCATTTCCCAGTTAAGCAAGGTTGTTATCTAAAAAGAACAAAACACCAATACTAATTTTACTGCATCCACAAGGGTTTAGGCTTCCAGTTGCATTCATTTTATTAGGAACTGGGTGATCAAATTCCTTGGGCAGCTTGGGACATTCTGAAAGCAACATTTTCACTGAATTATAACACGAATAAAAATCCCAGTTGGTGAAAGTAAAATACTTGTAAAGAACATGTCACCTCCTCAGCTGCTGTGGTTGGCTGGAATGGTCTTTAAAAGCTTGCTTCCGCAGCCAGTTAACAAAACGACACCTCCAGCACGATTCACACAAGGCTCTGTTGGTGCCGAAGTCCAGGGTTCAACTTCTGCCAACCACCTGCTATAGTGGTTTCTTTTCACAAGAGCTCTGACTGTTCGGGTTGTTAATCTCGGGGCAAATTTATGACCCATTATGCACCACTGTTCACCAAGTTGCGTTTTTTAAGGTTAAAGCTAATAGCCAAGGAATTGAACCAATGAGACTGACTAGGATCAGGTCCTAAACATGTATGTTTTCAATTAGTTTTAATAAAACAATGTTCAGCTCTGGCAAAAATCTTCTGTAGATTTTAAAGCTATTTGTGGGACAGAGCCCCTGTCTCTGTGTCACAGATTGGAAAATGGTGGTGGAAAGGTGTACAATGACTTGTCTAAAGCCATGTAGGAAGTCTGCAAAAGAAACAGGGGTAGATCCGGACAGATCCACATTCCATTTCCCTCCATCCAAATGTTTAAAGTCTTTGGAATATCAGAAATATGCTGCAGTGCACAGAAGTCTCAGATGAAATGGTGCTTTCTCTCATTGCAGGAACAAAACAAGCACAGGGAGAGAATGTCCTTGTCCTGGAAAAAAAGCCTCCACACAGACAGAGGGGAAATGGGAAAAATAAGGCAGAAAAAAATGATGGGTGGAAAAAAATAATTGGTCAACAGGAGATACAGAACAGAAACAAACCTCCTCTATCCACTGCTTCATCAGAGGGGTAACAACCCTGCCTGAGGTCTGCCTGACCCACTACAAGTCCAAAATGAAGAAGGGGAGAAGAGGAGGGAGAAAGAAAGGAGAAAGAGCAGAGAGAAAAGAGAAAGACTCTGTTCAGGGACACATGGAAGAGATGTGCTCCAAGGTGGGACCACAGATGGAGGGGCTTGGACAACACCAGGCACTTCAGCAATTAGCAGCAAAGTTCTAATTGCTTTCAGTAGGCTTGGAATAGGGCTGAGTGGGTAGGTAGAGAGCTGGCAGTTCCCCAGAGCCAGAAACCCAAAATAGTCCCTGCAAGGTGGATTCACAGCCTGGTGAGTACGTCTCTGCAGCTACAGCTTTGCTTGCGGGGAGCAGCGTTTCGAACCCTGCCTCTTTTCCCATGTGTTCTACCTGTTTACCGACGTGCGCCAGGACCAAGACGGGGAGCGCAGAGCTTTTCATCTTCAAAGAATTCTGCAAACCTGCATGCCTTTGCCACTGCTACAGAATGATAATTACCGTAAAGCAGACAGCATGGATTTGTTTAAGTGAGAGAAGACTCTCAGTCTAATTTTAGGGATTTGAACAGAAGGCGACACTCCAGCTGGGAGAAGATTTCCACTGAAAAGAATTTTTTGATGAAAACCAGAGGGTGAGGGGGGAGTTTCACAACATTATTTCCCTCCTTTTCCTAACCTGCTCGGTGAAATACACATGGGACACTCATTGGTAACAGCCATTATCACTGAGGGAACCGCGATGGTCCCTGCAAAGGCTGTCAGCAGAATTTGAACCAGAGACCTTCTGGAACAAATATAGATCTCTACCAGATAGTTTCAAACCTAGTGAGCCAGGCAGCACAGCGAGACAGAGCACACTTTGCAAGTGGTTTACATGAGGAGTGGATCAAACTGGTGGCCTCAAAGAAGAGGACCCTTTGGGATACTGGACACAACCTCAGCACCTCAACTGACCCTTTGGGTTTGTGAACAGCCCAACACAGAGCAGCCAGGAGTTGCTGTTGCCTTGACCTGAGGCAAAAAGAAAAGGTGCATGATCTGCTGAAATATATGTCCAAGCCAAAAAGAATCTGAGATATTTTTTTTTCATATTTTTTTTTTTCAGGGAAAGCAGAAATTTTCGCTTAGTGAAAATTGTAATTGTTTTTTGTTTGTTTGTTTGTTTTTTAAGAGAGTTAAAAAACAGGGTAGTTTTCATCAGCCTTAGTTGTACTTCATGTGCTCCACAAATAATTAAGATTTTCCCCTCTTTAAGGACAAGAAAAAAGTAGAAAATCCTCTAGCCACAGAAGGACATTCATTCATTTTAAATCACAAAAATCACTTCTCTATGGAACGTACATTGAAACTATAGAACAAAACAAAAAAAATCACCAAAGGTTTGCAAAATCTCTCCAAAGTCAGTGTTGCTCTTAGAATTGATATTCTAGGAATAGCTCGACTAGCAGGAAACGCACCGAGGAAAGGCTGGACAGAATTCTCCCTCTCCTCTTCACACATGCTGCAGCAACACAGACCCATGCGCTCTGCTCTCCCTCACTTTGGAATGCACGCGGAGAAGAAATGAGACAACGGACCCAGGGCGAATGTCCCTTGGTGCCCATCCAGCTCTGTTCCAACTGAAAAAAAAAAAAAAAAAAAAAGAAAGAAAAAAAATCAAGTTGCTTAAAAAACCCACATGAGTATTTATAACTTCCTGACAGACTGGATTGCATGAAGCTTTAAGATCCCTGTAAAGTCTGCCTTCCCTTCTGGCTCTCCCTCTCTCCTTCTAGATGATAAAACTCGGAACTCTTCAGGGACAGCCGTTTCTCCCCCAGATCCCAAAACAATGGCTGGCATCTGAAGACACCCCGCACTTTTCACACCACCTTGTTGTCAGCGTCTCGAGCTGTCAGATCCCTCTCCCCCCCTCCCCTGGCCAGCTCGAGGCTCTGAGTTCCATTAGCGAGTGTTTCTTGAGCAGCCTTGATTTAGAAGATAATGGGAGGCACAAGAGGAAAGCCTTCTAAGTGGCAGGTTTAAGCGATAGAAGAAGCATGAATCCTGGCAAAAGCCATGGTGGGACTGCCAAGAAATTCTATATGATGCAGGTGCAAATAGTTTTTTAAATTCAGACTCATTAAAATATGTATTTTGCAAAACGAATTAAATTAAAACATCTGGTAACTAGGGGAAAAGGCTAGGGGCTGGAGAGAGAAGGGCTCTGCGTGTGCGCGCGCACACACACAATCCCTTCGTCTCCAGTTAAAAAGTGGATTTGAAGGCCCCAGACTTCATCGGGATCCATAATTGTGGGAAAGTAACCTGAAGATGCCAAACAACAGGAAATTACCAGAAGAATCTGTCAGCACAATCAGCTGCTATTTTCATTGTTCTTTGGCAAATTTATACACAGTCGGGAACACCTGGGCTGGCACGCAGCCCGGCTTTGACTAATTGCCAGGGGAGAGGAGCAGTCATTTGTCTTCGGTGGGGTTTCCTACGCTCGCTCCTCAAAACATGTGGTTTCACTTTTCCCCTCTCTCTGCAGGAAATGGCAGGACAGTGAAACGCAGAATAAATGAGTTCGATTCCAAGAGGTTGCCTCCTCAGAGGCCACTCCAAAAATAACTGTCTTGTGAGAGGCTGTTAATAACCAAGACTCTATATACTGTCTTCAGCAAACAACATTTCAAAGGCACACTGTTCCTTTTCTCCCCAGACCCAATGTACATTAAAAACATTGTGGGGGGAAGAAAGGGAAGGGAGGGAGAGGAGGACGAACCTCGGCAGTTAAGAGTCCTGTATATTTTTGTGGGGAATTCTCACTCTCTTCAATCTGCCTCGCAAGATTCCCCAAACCTCAAGGAAATTGCTTGGATTTTCCTGCCTGGCTGAGCAAAATGTTGCTACAGGTTTCCAACATTGTTTGAGGATGAGCAAGCAAGTGTTTATTAAACAGCCACGTCAATCTCGATGGTCAGTTGCTGAGGCATTCCTCTAAATGTTGCATTAAGGACGTCTCTGCCTCTATTTCATGCCTCCTGTGCCCTGAGGTCTTGGCACACCTGATCGCAGCAGGATCCCACCTACCTGCAGTTGGGTAGTCCCAAAAAATCCAGGCATGGTCCCACCAACAGTTCCCAGCATGAAGTTAGTCTTCTGATCACACACAATAATAAGGATTATTCTAAGATTTGTAAAAGCAAGGCCATTGTTTCTGGGCACTGAATTTTGAGGATTCATTTCCAACTTGCTAACTATTTGAAACAAATATTTGCTGCATGTGTCTTATATTAAAAAACCAAGTCCCCTTCCAAATGCAAGTTTAGAAGCAGATTTTAAAGCTATATGACAGACAACAGAAGAGTCCCTGCAATCACCTGCATTATAGCTTTATCTCTGCCGAGACGTTGTTTTTGACATTGTAAGACTGCACTTTAAAAGATCACCTCTTTACAAGAACCACCTGTCTAAAGCGACAGCTTTTTCCTTTAACCTCAGAACATATTTTTAAGGTTAACATACCACTAAAAAAAAATGCCCCCTCCTCCCATTACCACTGATTCTTAACAAATCCAGGCTAAGATGTCCCCTCCATGTAGCAAAAGCATGTTTTATGTATTTCGGTTTTAAACCTGGACTATTTTCTAATTCAAATTGCATAGTATTTTACCACTTTAGATTGTGTTATGTCACAGCAACAGTGTGTTTTATATTGAAGTGTATATTCGCATTTGGTATATTTTCACCTGCATCTTGTCCAAATCCTACAATGATTTAGTATCTTGGCGATCTGACAGAAAGAAAAGAAAAGAAAAGAAAAGAAAAGAAAAGAAAAGAAAAGAAAAGAAAAGAAAAGAAAAGAAAAGAAAAGAAAAGAAAAGAAAAGAAAAGAAAAGAAAAGAAAAGAAAAGAAAAGAAAAGAAAAGAAAAGAAAAGAAAAGAAAAGAAAAGAAAAGAAAAGAAAAGAAAAGAAAAAAGAACCTTCCCAAAACACAAACATTTAAAACATACAGCAGATGATCATTAGGTTGGGTGAAGGAGCTAAAAGAACATTTGGGTTTCATTTGGTTTCAGTTGCAGACCCCTTAGCAGGGTAGAACTAAACTGTAATTCTAAACTGACCCACCTTTTCTTTCCTTTCCTCAACAAAAGGTGAAAAATGTGATAGAACATTTTACAATATGCAGCACATCAGTTACACTGCAGCACTGATAGAGTTCAGACTTGGCTTATTTTCTCTACGACTGAGATGTTTTGACATGTTTATTTGTTTAATTTGTTTATTTTGACTAGCTCTGATTATAATTGGCAGCAATGAGCAGAATTAACATTAGACAGTGTCTTAGACTTGTCGGTTACAATAATGCAAAAGGCATGTGAAGACAAATTCTCCAAAGAAATGACAATAACTAGAGTTTGGTTCAGCTGCGTTGTGGCTTTGCTGATGGGTGGCGAACAACTGACAGAACAGGACTGGAGCTACATGTTTCCCCCTGATTTCAGTGACACGGGATAAGACCCTTAAACACCAGAGAAGACAACATCTCAAAATCATAAAATTTCTTGCTAGTTATTCAGAAAGCAACAATCTATACCTGAAATAAAGAGAAGATATTCCAAACCAACAAGATTTGGATCTGAGCCTCTAGGTGAATATTAGATTATATGCACAGGGCATTTACCTCGCACTCCTGAGTGTTATGGACAACAAAGAAAGGGCTCTTCAGCTTTCAGAACCAGACCCTCGGTTCATTCTTCACTCATGTCAGGGAAGGAAGACTCTTCAACTTCACTTTGCTGTGAGCTTCATCATCATTGTTCCTTCCTTGCACAATGATTAGTAACAAACTTTTCTGGATTTGCCTTGTCTTGTCTTTTATTTTTTTTCATTTGTTTGTTCTTAATTGTAGTCACTGAAATGTTGTGAGAGTTAAGAAGGAGGGAGCAATCTATACAAGACCCTGTAAAGCATTTTCTTCAAGCCATAGCAATCCAAATGTTTTGCTTCAGTTCAGTTTTAAACAGCATGTATTTAAACTGTCAAAAACAAGAATATTTTCTGAGCTGCCGCATCCTTCACACAGGCTACTCTGCCATGATATTGCAGCCCATATGTTCCACAATATCACACTTCTCAGTGCTACCTAGGTAAACGATAATGCTAACAAATCCCCTTCTGTGCATGTAGACAATACAGCATGTGGGTGATAAATCTGGACCCAACTGATGGAGTTTACTTTCCATATCTGAAGGTGCCCTGTGAAGGTGAAGGCACCTTATCCCCTCCAAGTTTCTCTCCTGCTCCCTACCCCAACACAGTGTTTCAGGCCTCAAGTCGTGGCTGCATTCTTGGCATCAGAAGATATTCAAATGAAAAAGCTGTCAGATCACTGTGTTGCTACACTACTGAGCAACCAAAGCATTCCCTGAACTACTGAACCTGGAACTCCATCCATAACCTCTAGCAGGTAAAGACCAAGACCCAATATTCAATCGTGATCCTTCCCATTTGTCAGGAAAAAAAAAAAAAAAAAAAAGGATAAAAAAAGTGCAACGTACCCCTCAGACTCCAGCTGCAAAATCCAGATACTAAGGCACCTTTCTGAGAACCTGACATTTTTTAATTCAGAGTCCAAATATCTTCACGTGCAAGAGCTATCCAGGCCAGATGTCTATTTCTTCCTCCTTTTCACAAGGACCTTTCAAATCTGAGATCATCGGACATAATCGTATGACACTTGCAAATCACCTGCAAATCACAGAGAACTTTAAAAGGGGAAGAAATCTAAAATAAACCTAGTTTTTTGAGATGAGAATCTGAGGCACAAAGGAAAAAAAGCATGACGTCAAACAAAAGAAAAGACTATAGAAACTAACTTCATGTTTCTCAGTTTTACAAGATCACTCTTTTCCTTTTCCTAGAAATGGGCATTATCACTTAGGGAAGCCTGCTGATGCCCACCGGTAATACAAAAACCTAGCAATGAAAATAAACATTAAACTAGTAGTTAAACAGCCTAGCTGTTTAAATACAAAAAATACAATCCACATCCCAAAGAATGTGGCAATTGGATGGAGAAGATAAAGCAAATGAAAGCTTTAAGCAAGTGACCAGATTAAATCTGTATTTGCCATATTGACCACAAAGGTATTTTTTATGCAAAACCTCTCCAAGAAAAGCAAGTCATCTGCATATTCCACCGCTAATTATCCAGGAAAAGCAAAGATGCTGCTTTACTCATATTTTCAACAAAATATTTTCTCAGTGTGCAGCATGTCACATTATTATGTGTGAGACCATATGTGTGGCAGTGCAGGGGGCCAAGTTAAGGTTCTCACGTTCACACCAAGTGCTACAGAGAGTTCACCACATTGAAGGGGTTTGCTTCTGATACCTTTGCTCATTTGCTTTGTACTTTTTAATTATTTTTTAAAGTGATTTGAACACGATTCCCCCTACACCAAGTCCTGTCTTCAGTTTTGGGGTCTCTCCAACCATTATTTAAAATATCAACAACACCTGGAACTCTATTATAGCAGAACGTACTTACTCTTGGAGTCGGCTGCTGGCAGTTGCAGCAGAAGGCAACAGATAAGAACACAACAGAAAAGTAAAATCAAGTTATGTTGGACTCAAAAAACAAAAACTGCAAAGACTCCAAGAATTTATTCTCACATGAATGGGAAAGGTTAGGCCCTACTGAAGAATATACCATTTTTTCCCTATTAATTATATGCATTTGGGGTAAAAGAACGAAAACACCTGGAGTTTAACACATTTTTTTAATGCATTTTTATGATAGACACATTGTTCTTGCAGCAATTCTTGTACCTGATGATCAAATATAAAATATGCTTTACAGAAAAAAAAAATAAACTTAATCATATCATCTACAGGCTTAAATGGAATTTAATTAGTGCATAACTCTCAGGGCAGTTCTTTGAATTGGGGGCAGCTTCATCATACTAGTGAAACCAAACATTTCAATTACGAAGTCAATATTGCATCATCTACACTGCACTGGTACTGTCCCTGCATTTATCAGCCAAGAAGGAGTTGCTCCTCTCTTGGAGCATAATACCTACTCTTTGAGAGCGCAGACAACAGACACAGTGGATGCAGCAAAAAGAACCTGAAAACCAAAATTTCTTCTTCAAACAAACAAACAAAAAGCAACCCACAAACTCTGACGTGTAAACACATTCCAGAATTTGGAGACTAGCAGAGTAAAATAATT